GCCAGCAGCAGCGCTGGGAAGGGGGCTGCTGCCAGCCCAGAATTTGCCATAGCCCCCCCAACCTGCCTGCCAACCACCAGGGAAAGCCCGGTGGCACTGCCAGCCCCAGCCTGCAACAGCAGCCTGCTGTTGTTCTGCACGTAGATCCAGGGGCCTGCATCCCCCAGGAAGAGCCCAGCACAGCCCCGCTGCCCTCCTGGGGGCTTGTAACAGCAAGAGCTGCACCCCTGTCCCACACCCACTCACAAGTCCTGCCGCCTTGCTGCCTGCTGCAGCCCAGGGCCTACACTTTTCTCCACTCACCCCAGTCCTTGCTGCAGCAGCCACAAAAGCAGCCAACGCCAGCTGCCTATAGCTGCTGGGCTGCACTGTGCACCCATCCTCCCAGGGCTTCCGCTTCTCCCCGCTCACCCCAGCCCATGCTGCAGCAGACCCGTGAGCAGCCAACACCACCTACATGCACCATGGCACAGTGCAGCCCCAATCACATGAGAGTGAATTTACCTCGCATATAAGGAATTTTGGGTAGAAAAAGGGTGATCACATAAGAGCAAATTCACATATATGGAACCCACATAAATAGAGGATACCTTGTATAGATAAATAAAATATAGGAACAGCAGGGTCTTAAGGAGATGCAATAAAAACAGATCAACTTAAAAACAGACTATAACTAGGGACCTACTGAATTTGAGGTGGCTGCCCACCTATTTCACAAGCAGAACACAGGGCCCAGCAGCCATTTCATGGGCAGAGCATGGACTGGCTGAAGGGCCCTGGTGGCCCCACCCCTCACCACTGATTGGCTGCAAGGGCCACCCATCATGCACCCCACCCCTCACCGTCAATTGGTGGAGGGGCAGGCCACATGACAAGCAGCCCTCACAGCCAATAAGTGGTGACGGGCAGGAGCAGAAGCAGCAGCAATCTTGCCAGCAGCCCTTTGAGCGGGCAGCCTCCCCCCCAGTGGGATGCACCGTCAGGCTGCAGCACCCTCAAGACTGCTGGCTCCCTCTGGGAAGCCATTTTATTTTGGGCAAGTTCTAGGGCTGTACGAAATTTCAACAGCTGTTTCGTTTTGACACTGTTTCGACTCATTTCAAGGTCAAAACAGCACAACCAAAACAAAACAAAGGCTGTCAAAATAGCCTCGAAACAAAAAGAGGCTAGTTGAAATGTTTCAACCATAGTGCTGGGGACAGGAAGTCAGTCCAGTTGGGCCGACTTGCCATCCCCAGTGCAAGATCCAGCAGAAGGTGCCTGATCCAGCGTGGGGGGCGCTAGATCGCACTGGGGGTGGGGACACAACCTGGGCCGACTCTCCATCCCCAACAAAATGTTGAAACAACATAAAGGCTGTTTTGATGCTTCGACAGAATGGAATGGAATGGAATGGAATGGAATAGCTTTTTCGAATCAAAAAGAAATTTGAAACGGAACACTGTTCCATCGAACCTTCGAAACTCAAGGTGAAATGGAACAGTGCCATTTCGCATAGCCCTAGTAAGTTCTCCCCCAACTCCCACCGCAGATTTCATGGGCATTGCCCAATGTCAGTAGGTCCCTAACAAGAACACCATCTAATTTCTTACATCAAAAACCCGACTCGGGTATTACTGGTAATTTGATTTGGAATTGACAGCTCTCTCACTTAAATTGATCTCAAAACTTTCACTTCTGATGCACTGTGCCAACCCAATCCTTGTGGGGCACTTTTAGCTCAACTGAGCATCTTCGTAAAAGACAATTTATACTACCCTTAGTATGCTGGAGGACTGAAAATTATTTTCCTTACCTGACTGTTATATAGCTCTTCCAAGTGTATTACAGATTTAATTGATTTGCATCTACAAATTTCTTCCTCTGTAAACTTCTGTATATCTGGATGAACCTTCTGAACTCGCCCCAAGCGCAAGAATCCTACTTTGAACCTGGCCAACTTCAGCAAGATGTTGTCTACAGCAGTATGTGTAAAACTAGTCAGCAGAACATTGAAGCCACAGGCATAAAGAATTCGTACCTAATAAAAGTGAGTGGCAAGGACAGAAAAAGAAAGTCAAGTTGAACAGCAACCAATAATACTGTCTCTTAAAATGATAATCTATCTATATTTTTTCTAAATTTGTACAGATCTACGATGGAAGATAATAAATTTTAGCTGATTTTTAAAACGAAATCTTCATAGTTTCCCAAGCAGGAAGCAACTGTGACCACCTGAAACCTGAGATCCTGCTCCCAGTGACTGAACGTGGAAGACGACACGAGAACTGCATTAGAGAGACGAACTGGCGGCTTCAGCAATGGTGTCTCGAGGCAGACTTCGGCTTCCTTGACAATGACCCGCACACCACGATGAGAGACATGCTCAGTTGGGATGGGCTTCACCTGTCCCCCAAAGGTAAGCGTGTGTTCTCTTCTAGGGTGGCGGATCTCCTCCAGCAGGCTTTAAACTAGGCTCGTCAGGAGGGAGGGGATGATGAGGGCAGGGGAAGCCGTGGACCACCAAACCATGTGGCGCCCACAAGGATAGCCCAGCCTGAAGAAGGAGAACATTGGGAACCTGCAATCCATGGGGCGGCCAGCAGTACACCACAGGTAAGCAATCAGCAGGTAAGCAATAAGAGGCCCTTTGGGCATCAGACCCGGGGGGCAACAAAGGCGCCAGTCACAGGGCTCAAGTGCCTATACACTAACGCTAGGAGCATGGGGAGCACGCAGGATGAACTAGCACTCCTGCTTGCAGAAAACACCTACGACTTAGTAGGGCTAACAGAAACCTGGTGGGATCCTTCCCACAACTGGGCGGTACACACTGAGGGTTATAAGCTGTACAGAAAGGATAGAGTGGGAAAGAGAGGGGGAGG